GTTTCAAGGTCCAACCATCACGCACCACACCGCCACCACCTCCACAAAACCCGTTTCTTTTATTTCCCCCCCCAAACCCGCGGCCCCCGCGGGGCCCCCCGGCGCTAGCGGGGCCCGCAGCGCCCGGCCCAGCTGGCGGTGTCGCCGATGTCCACGCTGTGCCCGGAGCTCCAGTCCCGCTCGAAGACGGCCCCGAGCCGCTCCCGGAAGGAGCCGGGGCCCGGCCCGGGCTGCGCCACCACCAGCGCCGAGCCCGCCGTGCGCTCGAAGTAATCCCCGGACCAGTTGGATGTGCCTGGGGGGCAGGGTGGGGAGGGGACGGGGGGGTTCACCCCAGAATGCACCCCAAATGTACCCAGAATGCAACCAAAATGTACCCCAAATGTACCCAGAATGCACCCAATAGCCAAATGTATCCAAAAATACCCAAAATAGCACCAAAATATCCAGCAAAACAGTCACAGTGAAAATCCCACCCAAAAAGTCCCCAAGAATTCTAAAAAAATCCCCAAAAAACCCCAAATATCCCTCGGGCCTGGCTGCCCCCCCCAGCGCCCTCAGGCAGCTCCGGCTGCAGCTGCAGCAGCGCCTGCAGGGCCAGCAGCAGGTGAGCGGGAGAAAACACACCCAAAAATAGCCAAAATAGCCCCAAAACCCACAATATACCCACAAAATATCCTCAAAAAACCCAAAATGTACCCAAAATGTACCCAAAATGTACCCAGAATGCACCCAAAATGCACCCAAAATGTACCCAGAATGCTATAAAATGGCCCGAAATACCACAAAGCCACCCCAAAATGCACCCAGAATGCTCTAAACCGCCCCAAAATATCACAAAGCCACCCCAATATGCACCCAAAATGCTCTAAAACGGCCCGAAATATCACAAAGCCACCCCAAAATGCACCAAGAATGCTCTAAACAGCCCCAAAATACCACAAAGCCACCCCAAACCAACCCCAAAACGCCCTAAAATGGCCCGAAAGACCACAAAGCCACACCAAAATACCCCAAAATCCACCCAAAATGCCCTAAAATGGCCTGAAAGACCACAAAGCCACACCAAAATGCTCTAAAACGGCCCTAAATATCACAAAGCCACACCAAAATACCCCAAAATCCACCCAAAATGCCCTAAAATGGCCTGAAAGACCACAAAGCCACACCAAAATGCTCTAAAACGGCCTGAAATGTCACAAAGCCACACCAAAATACCCCAAAATCCACCCAAAATGCCCTAAAATGGCCCGAAATATGACAAAGCCACACCAAAATGCTCTAAAACGGCCTGAAATGTCACAAAGCCACACCAAAATACCCCAAAATGCCCTAAAAGGCCCTGAAATACCACAAAGCCTCCCCAAAACAACCCCAAATGCACCCAAAATGCCCTAAAATGGCCTGAATTCCTCCAAAACACACCAAAACTCTGCAAAATGCCCTATAACCTGCCAAAACACCCCCAAAACACCCCAAAATTCCTCCAAAACACACCAAAACTCTCCAAAATGCCCTATAACAGGCCAAAACGCCTCCAAATGCTCCCCAAAACGCCCCCCAAACGGCCCCAAACCACCCCAAAAGGCCCTAAAACTCCCCAAACCACCCCCAAAATTACCAAACCACCCCGAATCACCCCAAAACTCCCCGAATCACCCCAAAACTCCCCGGAACACCCTCACAACACCCCAAAACTCCCCGGAACACCCCAAATCACCCCAAACCCCCGAGTCCCCGCGCTCACCCACGTAGGCGGCCTTGTCGGTCACCATGTACTTGGTGTGGCTGACGCGGGCGAAGGGGATGCGGCTCTGCGCCGCGCTGGCCGGCACC